AATCTCAGAAGCCAGAACAGCAAGAGAGATCGCTGCACAGTGAAACCAGCAATCCTTCTTGCTGTTCTGGCTTCTGGGATAGCTGCGCAGCCTGCATTCGCTCCATAAGACGCACACACATTTCGCCTTTTAGGAGGGAAAAAGTGAGTCTTATAGAGCAAAAAATACGGTAATTACAAGCAAACAATTGGAAAATGTTGCATGAGCAGGTTGTTGCTACAGTTGTAGATCTCCCAGTAACAGTGAGCAAATTTCTCTGTGCCCGTCATCTTGTTTCTTCTTTGAGGTTAAGAGGATGGATGGCGAAGGAGAATCTGCCTACAGGGTCTGTTTTATTCCAAGGTCGTAGATAACAGAGCAGCTCCCACAAGCTGAACTCTATCATATTTTATCCACTTGATTTTGTCTAAAAGGTTCAGGCCCACAAGGAATGAATAGATTTGGTCTATGAAGTTACTAATACTTTGAGAAGGATTCATTATCCAATAAATGACAGCACAACCTGTCTCTGCCTTCTACTGTGTGCTGCTAATTTTTAATTATGTGAGTAGATCGCAGTCTCTTGGGAATTGGCCACCCCTGTTATAAGAGATTCAAAACACTTTGAGACATTTTTACCCTATTGTAAGTTACAAAGGTCAAATGTAATTAATTTCAAAACTGATATACAATTAAAGAGCTGAATAATTTTTGGACTAAGTTTTATTTACAGATCACAGTGATTTTCATTGTGCAATGAGGACTGACTTATATATTTGTACAGTACTTATACACATGAGTTCAAACAAGCAAGCAACTTCTCCGACATCAATCCAAGTCAGCGTTGGAAGTCAAATCTGTTCAATTTGGTTTTTTACACAAATGTAACTATCCCTTACTTACTGTACAACAGAGTATTTATAAAGCTGTCATGTCTGCCATAGAAAAGTGCAAAACATAGGAAATCTGTACACAGTACAGTACAAAGGAATTATGCTACAGTTCTTGAAAGCTGAAAAATTCTGTAGTATAGGAATCACTGAATCTTAGTTTTCCAGGATGGCAAGATGACTGGCTTGCTATCTTCCACTTTCCAAGATTTGTCCATCCAGTTAAACAGTTTAGTACCTACATTTCAATAAATTAAATTTGCTCTTCTACAGCAGATCACCTTTGTTAAATTCAACAACAGCACAAACGTTTGAGCAAGCAAGTACATCTAGGCAATTTAAGGCATGACCCCCATTTCAATTATACTGCATCATGTTTGGTTACAAAATTATGCCCATTATCCACCTTATAATTGAATACAGAGAAGGCTGTAGGGGCGATTTGTTTTGGTTTCATCCATATCACGAAAGCTGTGTGTTGATGTGAAAAGGGGAATTTTTGTTTCGAGTTCCTTAAAAAAGATCTAACTATTATAAAAATAAGGCATGAAGAATAAGAATTCTAATAAAAATAAATCAATAGGTGTATGAAAAATTTTAAGTGGAATTTAGGAGAAGCTAGGGCTGTGAAATGAATCTGTGGCCTGCCACATGTTGTTTGACTACAAACCCTCTCATTCCTGATCACTGGACATGAGGGTTGAAGCTATGAAATTTGGAATCCAACATCTGGAGAGAAACAAGTTTCCTCTTCTGGCATATAGGACTGCAGCCTAAGCCATCTTCGGGCATTATAGTTCCCATATAAAGCAACATGGGAGCAGCAAAACTGGGCTGTGGTTCCAGATCACATGGAAGCTTTTGTGCGCACCTCTGCATTTGAAAAGATACACTTCCCAGTAGATGCCATGCTGTATGTGCAGACACGAGAGGCATAGATACTCACTGATCCTGCATTGCTCCTTCATAGGGGCTATAATGCCCAAATAGAGGTTTAGATGAACTTGACACCCACTGATTTCAATGATAACCAAGTCAAAGCTAAATTGTTCAATTTACTTCAACTGGACCATGTTCAACTAACTCAGTCTGGATCCAGCCCAATGTGTGCAGCTCCAGTTGATTTTTTTTATTTACTCATTTTATTTATATAAACTGTCAATAACTATTTCCCCAGGGCAGCTTACAGCAGAAAATTGGAAGATAAAAGCACAACACCCATATTGCATTACCACTTTTCGAGGCAGCCTTTTGCTGTTTCCAGTTTGGTGGTATCCTGCTAAATTAACCATAAGGCAGGCTTCAGACTTCAGTGCACAATATTTGTTAAGCATCACCAGTGCCTTGTGAACAGATGCACCAGAACAGCTCCTTTATATTGTTGTTTATGCTAAGGGAAGCTATATTCTAAAATGAACCTGTCTTTCATACAAATGAAGATTCAGTTTCTTCCTGTGCAGAATTTAATTTACAATACATAATTGATTTCTTTTATGGATGATTAACTTGCCAAATGAAAGCCACAATTCTCTGGTATAACTTTTACAGCTAAGGAAATGTTACTGTCCTACTTACTTATTGGAAGCACTATTTCAGTATTATTTTTTTTCCTTGAGAAAGAAGTTGTAATAGTATAACTGAATTCAGAGGATATAAATTTATGGAATAGCAGACCAACTCATGGAATACATTGGCTCAATTTACATATAACAGTAAGGCAAATCACGGCTTAGCATGAACACGCATACTCCCACAGAAGAGGCTGTTCCATTCTTCCTGTTTTGAGCTACCCATGGTTTGGCTTAGTGTGTCATGCAAACCTGGGCTGATTGTTTCTTTTGCTTTAGACAAATTATGAGCTGCACCAGGGTTTGTTCTTGGTTTACAGCACACAACCTCCTGTCTGGGAACATGTGCATTCATGCCAAGTTGTGGTTTGGCTGAGTGTTATGTGCAAATTAAGCAGTATGTCTTCCTGTATCCTCTATTTTTCTTGCTTAGCATGGTTCCAACTCTTAAAACTGCTGCAAGCTAGAAACAAACAGAAGTACTCTGTTTGCAAGCACCTTAATATACTGCACATCAAATGCCAAGATTCTGCAACACAGGAAGTCAAGATTTGGAAGGTTCATCTCGGAAGAATTATGCAAGACACACAAACATTGTGTGTTCAGAATCAGTAGATGCAGTAACAGCAAAACAGTCACTTATTCTCTGGCAGATAGATTGTACTAACTGCGAAAAGTACAGAAGGAAAAGCACTAGAACTCATTTGATACTGAGTAGGTGACAGGAAACTGTGAAAAGTTTCAATCCCCTGCCACTTGCAAGACACACTATCTCCTCTTTTTGGAGCCAGTTTTCCTCACAATGTGGTCTAAAAAAAAATGTGATCTTATGTACAATAAGAGAAATATGGGGTTTTTGTAGCATCTCAGGTTCAAAAAGTCACAGTAAAGGTCTGTGGGGAAAACTGACCAGAAGACACCAGAAAGCTGGACAAGTCTTTACATTTATAAATTGCATATGCATGAGCCACCTAACAGTGAGGATTTGCAGACTATGGGGAGAAGTATCAGTTATTGATTTTTTAAAACAACTTCTTCAAATGTACAGACCAAACATCTATAACCATGATAAGTGTCTAAAGCCATCATTGGAGAGAATTTCACATACAACAAATATTTCTCTGAATGCACAACTGCTGAAATTTTATTTTTAAACATACATGCCAGTTCAAAGTTAAGCTTGCCAGAAATAAGTAAGCTTAAATCCTAGCAGTGGTACTAGGTGTGAACAGCTCAAAGAACTTCTACACATCATAATCCTTCATATGTTGGATTTCCAACTCTAGTCAGTCCCAGCTGATATGGCCAATGATCAAAGGGATGGGACTTGTAGCTCTGGCACATCTAGAAGGCCACAGGTTCTCCTTGCCTGTTGAGCTCAACCTTGGGATCATGTAAGTATATAGTCCCAATTCTACATATTCTGGTTTATTTCAGCAGAACAAATGACATTAATTGACATGTAGAAGATTCTACTTCAGAATCTGTAGAATTTTAATTTACACATAAGGATGTTCATTAATTTTCATGATGATGACGACTCAGAAGACCATGTAAATAGCCTTGTTTCCTGAAGTGATACTTATGCAATGTGAAATCTGATTGTAGCAGTTGATCTGTCGTGAATGTTTCATGCACCAAGCCATCACCTTAGGTCGCAGTTGTTCAGTGATGGTAATTCATGTATGAAACAGTGCATATGGCAGAAGATTTATTAGATGTTCTTCAGGTCCCTGTAAGTGCAACAATTCTAAACCTAAACTCAGAGAACACACCTTACCAATAGGTACGATTTTGCCATGATTTCATATAGTTAATGAAAAACACTTTACATAGCCTGCAGTAATCAAGAATCATGATTTGCATGGACAAAATTTCAACTCAACTTCATAAAGAAAACATTATGTAATCTAAACAAAACATACAGGCCCTTTATCTTTCAGCTTTCAAATAGTAGGGCTGCAGGTGTGGAGCACTGGAAACGTTATAATTTTCTCAAAATTTACTTGTATATTTCTTTTTACAAAGAATTATAAAACGTATAGAAGATGCTGAAAAACCTATTGATCATTTTAAGATTTTCTTCTTCTAGGGGGCATCTTGAAAAAACATTTCAGAATAAAAACCATAGACTCTGTAAAGTACAAAAATTTACATTTCAGCACAGTTTCTGTGCCTTTTTCTGTATTGAGTTCTTTATATACACATATTCTAATCTGTGCTTTAAATGACAATCTTAGTATAAACTTATAAAGTTAGTCAATGAGATAACTATGCAAAAATATTTGGGCATAGCAAGAAACAAAACTAAAAATAACTGTTTCTTTTTTAAAAAAAACAACCCAAAAACTATAACAGTTTCAAAGTCTACACCTCAGGGTAGGTGCTTCAGTATTTTAGTTTACTGAACTAATGCCAAATCCATACAACTAAACTTATTAACCCTTTCCCAACTTTTAACATGATTTCTTTATGAATAATGAAGTAACATTCTTTCACTCATTTCAAAGAAATTCTTCATAACTTTTTTCAAGTTCTTCTTTGCCGGTTCCCAACCAGCACATTAATAATCTTCCAGTTTCTACAAAATAAATAAAAACAAGTGTTCGATTAATTGATATTTCAGAGTAGTAGATACTTGAATTTCCTTATTCAAAGTTCTGGACTTTATGCACTGTATAGACATAACCACAAGAAAATCTCTGCAAGGAAAGATCACTTTCTTTTTTTCATGCTACTCTAATAACCACTATTTTAAAATGCCTTTCTTGACTTTCAGTCAAGAAAGATCTCAAGGAATTACTTTTTACCAAGGAAAAATCAGTATCGGTGTGATTCTATAAAGTACGAGAGTGGACATTCATAAACGCTATTTGCTGAAAAATGCGTAAGTGCAACAGGAATGAATTAAAACATCAAGATCATCATGGATGCTTTTACAATGCAGAGGAAGCGGATCTGATCCTTTTCATTTCCTTACCCTCAACACATAAGTTTGACAAGTGAGTGGGCCTACCAGCCTGCCAACTGTGTGGCATCACAATGTCAGGTGACCTGTTTTCACCAGTGTGTCTTAAAATCACTGCATGAAGGCAAATGTTCAGTGCAAACAGCTGATCATTGGGACTTTGTGTGCCTGCAAAGCCCCCTTTTGGCCCAGCTGCATCTTTACCTGCCTCACAGCTGATACTATATATGATAGGTGTGGCTTGGCAAGGTGGGTCTAATTAGGTCATGTGCCAGAGTTTTCCTATAGATGTTATAATGAAATAAAAAAGAAGTAGAACTTAGGGAAGATGAGTATCCAATACCTTAATGACATTTTGTGTCTCACGTTTAGAAGTTCTTGAAAATTTCTAAATCTTTAGGAGGTACAGGAGGCATTTTGTTCCAGTCATCTTCAGGATAAGCTTCAAAGTTGGATGTATCACCATCATTTGATACCTTCGGGACTATAGGAGGCTGAATTAAAAAAGGAAAATAATAATAAATTAAAATCCCATGTCAAACGAAGTATAGTCTAGAATTTTTCACCCCCTCCCCAATTTTTTTTGCTTGGCATAAAGTTAGCTCATTATCACCGATTAGTTTTAGCACAATTGCTTGGCCTGATCAGTTATTTATCTATATTACAGTACATTTATATCCCACCTTTCTTTCATTATGAAACTTAAGTTCCTATCTAGGCTCTGACTTGAACCCAAATCTGCTTTGCTCCAGCTGGATGGATATCTTACCTGCCTTCTGAGAGTCCTATCACTAACTTCTTTTTGTCCATAGGAATCCTAACTTATAGTAAGTTTGGGAAATGTTTGGTGTGATGGCTCTGGGATTTCAACATAAAGAACTCAGGCATATGACCTTCACTATAATTCTAATCCAAACAGATTTTTTTTTTTTTTAGCTGAAAAAGAATCAAATGAAGTAGAAGTATAATGAATTATCTCAAAGCTGCATTTGTTTTTGCACAATTCACCTTTAATTTTCTCTGTGGTACAGCATCCCAGTCTACAGACCTGAACCATCTGTGCCTCTTCACATCATCAGCTCCATTCTAGTGAAGAAAAATCAAATTAGATGTTTATTCACTGACAGGAAATGCCAAAATATATTCTAGCAAACACTTTATGCAGACCCATATGTATTTCTGCCATCTGCATTTTGAGGGCACACTGTAGTGCACACAATTTTTCTGGTTCTCTCTTAAATACTGGATTCCCCAGCAGTTTTTCCTGTACCAAATCTGGATTCTGCTGGTCACAAATCATCCTTTTACATACCGAATGCAAGTAATATTGTGAGACTGGGACTCATTTCTACAAAGCATATACTGAGTAAGGTTTTGATTCTTTTACCCTTAAGTAGCAGATCCACATGCAATAGTACAAGTTTTTGAAACTGATCTCAAATTTGAAATTGCTTTCTACATAGAATCAACATCTCCATCAAACTATCCACTATGACCCCAAGGTTTCATTCCTGGCCAAGTCATTGCCAGTTTAGGTCCCATTAGCATATATGTGAAACTAAGGTGTTTTGCACTAACATGCGTAACTTTATGCTTCTTTACACCGAATGACATTTGCTACCTATTCACTCAAGTTTGGAGATGCCTGTTTGGAACTTTTTGCAATCCCTTTTCTTTTAGGGATCTTGAACCAGGGCTTTCTTTCCATCCAGAACTTGCTGGAACTCAGTTCTGGCCCCTCTCAGGTGGGCGCCATTACCATTATAAGAGAACAAGAGAGGCAGTCATGGTGAGTTCTGGCATCTCTTTTTCTAGAAAAAATAGCATTGCCTTGAGCCCCACTGCTCACCTCTAACTCTAGAATGATACAGCTTTCCCACACTTAAGAATACATTAATAAGATCCCCCCCTCCACAAAATAAATCAAATGTATTAGAATTTGGTTTTAAGCAAAAAGAGCATTTCTGGAAACCGAAGATAAGGAAAATGTTTTATGCCAATGGTTAGGATGTGCTGAGACTTAAAAATAGCATGTAAAGCTTACCTTCATGTTTCCTAGCCGTCTTGTTCGGTCAACCACAAGAAGTTTTTTAATAAGGTCCCTGGACAAGGGGTGGTAAAAATTAATTTTTGAAGTTGCATTTGAGTTCAAGATGACAGAAAATATATAAAGGCATCTAATAATAGTGAAAGTAGTAGTAGTAGTAGTAGTAGTAGTAGTAGTAATGTAATAAGGCTAACATTTTCCCTGCAGTTATCAGCTTTCAAATGGAGAGAGATTGTAGCTTGAGCAACAAACCTCCAATGCTTAATACTCCAGTTGAGATAACTGGGGTGCAGCTGGGGAAGGTGAGCAATAAATCCACCTTTCAACACACCTTTGACAGGGATGCAGACAGAGTAACTGAAAGCTGAGTTGCCAAGGAAACATATGGGGAGAGCAGGTACATATTTCACAATTATTAAATTCTTTGCTGATCTACTCAAACCATTTAGTCAGCATTCCAGTTTGATTAAGTGACCCCTTATAAATACATATTAAGCACACAGCTGCCACCGGCTGAACTAGTATAGTTGTATCGTTTTTCAGCCATGTAATATATAGTTCCTACTCTATTAATCCTTGCTGCAGACTGGGGAGGGGCATGGTCTGGGAGAGGCATTTCCTGCAGAGAGGTCCCCATACTTGCTCTGGTGGTTTAGGAGCAAAGGAACTGTGCAGTTGGTGAAGATCAGGCAGACACCTTTAAGATATTCTCTGTAAAGCCCTACTCTCAAGCCCACTTGGCTGAGTCAGGGCTATGACCTGACTGCTTACATAAAGTATAGACAAAAAGATCCTGCTCGGGTTTCAGTTCACACTGGAAAGCTTCCCAGAGCTTTGTCAGAAAAGCTCAGGGGTTCTACGCCTCCCTTGTTCTCAAGGGTTGTCAGTTTCCCTGAGCTGTGCCAGCTCAGGGACGACAGAGCTCCCTGGAGTCTTAAAAATAGGTTCTGTCTGAGCTATAGAAGGCAAAGTAGTGTCTGATTTTATGAGATTTGCTAAGCTGTTGGGTGGAAATCTTCATCAAACATGCAAATTGCTATATGAAAACCAGAACTAATGCTACTAATTAGGCTCAGCTCTAATTAAAGTTAAATATTTAAAACTCTGAGCAAGCTTTCTGAATTCACATTAGAGCCCCCTAGAATTTAATTAATGTCAAGTATATAAATTAGAGCATTCTCTCCCCAGAATCCATAGACAGTGCGCACTGTACAAATAGTGGCTGCATGTGACAAGCGGCTTCATACACTGTACTTTGAATGGCACTTTAAAGTAAAGCTAAGGTAGAACCAAAATAGAATAAACCAGCGATTAAGGTGAATGCACTTACTTTACATATAAATCCAGATGCCTGGGGAAATCTATTTTACCAGCAAGAATCTTCTGATATATTCCAAAAGGGTTGTCATCAAAGAATGGAGGAAACCTAATCAAGAGGAGGAAGACACACGAAACCACACAGCTATAAGTTTAAAAATCTTTGAAAGTATATTGCAATATAGCCTATTTTAAATGCCATCTGCTTCCCAATATTAGACCTGCAATTATTTATTCATACAGCTGTACTGTACTTACTGAAGTCCAGAAAAGTTACTTCTTAAACACATACACATATTGACTACTTCTGCTGCCCCTTCGCCTGGTGTAAACCAAAGAATACACTTTCTAGAAACATACATAAAGCATAGAGAATGACAGTATGCTTATACCATGCAACGAGTGACAAAATTATGAATGGGTTTTTTTAAAACACTTTGGGTTGCCTTGCAGCCTTCACTTTTGCCCTCTGAAGCACCCTGCGTCACAGTGAAGTCAATCCTCTTGTTAACAGGCTGGGGTTTTTATGCCTTGGTGTATGCATTCCTCACAATTGAGGTACAGGGCATCTGTTAAAGAAATAGGTCTGATTTATTAAGTGCTAGCTTGTGATGAATAGGAGTCTGATCATAAAGCTTGCTATGCTAGCAAGACCTGGGGTGGCATGTTTTAAATACTGGTGAAGCAGCATATCTGTGCCATGAGGATATTACTTTAGTTAATAAACTTAGTACAAATATTTAGCACTTAAGTATAAAGGAGCTCTAACAAAACACCCAAGACCTCTTCAGAAACATGTTTTTAAGCCTTAGATCCTCATGTGTCTTGTAAATTTTGTCCATCTTGGGAATAATTCCTCCTGCTGTTCCAATTTAAGAAATCAGCTTCGTGGGTATTTTGGAATGGTTGATGTTAGGTAGTAATAGATCAGTTAAAAATGGAAGTGTTTGTTTTATTGTTGGAGAAGTCGACTCCAGTTTAATGGCTAACACTATTATAAGACCAGCTATTGAGGGGCAGGAAAAACCTTTTCTTTCCAAATCAGTTAGGTGGGATTGGAAAGTATCTTTCAACTAATTCCTCATGGTCAAAAGAACTCAGGGTATAAATAAAGCCATATAAAGCCTAGCTGGTGACTTTGAACCGAAGTGTCCTAATCCTTATTTCTGGAGCCACAAGGATCGTTGTTGCATATATATTTTTACAAAGCTTTTCTCTGAAGGAACACGGTTGAAGTAAGGTGAAGAAGAAGAGCTGGTTTGGCAAGCAGGCAAGAATCGAGTAGCCAGCAAAAAGCATAATTTATAGGAGCGCATTTGTAAGGAATTATTTTATACAGTCGTATCCCGGAAGTCGAACGCTTTGCTACTAGAACGTTTTGGCTTCCAAATGTTTCGGTTTTAAAACGTTTTTTGGAACCTGAATGTCCAACACGGCTTCCGCAGCTTCCGATTGGCTCCAGGAGGAAGGCGGGTGGATCTTTGCAACCCAACACCACATATGCTTAAGACGGCCCTGACAACAGGTCTCTCTTGTCTGCCCTTCAAAAATGCCCAAGCCAAACACCTCAATGGCTCATCTTTGTACTCTAAGTGGGTGAGTTTTTGCCTGGCTGAAATGTATCCTTGAACTCTTAATGCCTTTTGCTTGTGCGAGTGGAGGAGGATGTTGGTGTCTGTAGAAACCAGGGTACTGTACAAAGGGGGAAATGTATATCAGTTGCTCCTCCATCCACTATTGCCTCTGGCCACACTCATCACTGGAATGTGGTCCTCAAAAGGCTGCCCAGAAGGAAATGTGGCCTCTGGCCTAAAAAAGGCTCCCAACTCTGCTCTAGTATTTGCCTACAGGTCGAAATATCATTAGTGTATCTTCCAGTTCTGGGATAAGGCATGCCAAAGGTTGCTGGCATGTATTGAAACATTCTGATCCAACTGAGAGAGCTAACAAATTAAATAAAAATTGAAGTTCTCCAGATTTTAATAAGCCCCTCTAGCCTGCCCTCTCCTTTAAGTGATGTTTTCCTTTGTCACATAAGTTTGGTATCAAGCAAGCACAGCTGGCGTTAAGGAATTGGTTTTTTTAGTGTGCCGTCTGCTGACTGCAGTATTGGGACCTGTGAGCCAAAGCAGAAGTGGAATTTTCTTTATTAATGGAAGATTCCATCAAGCAAGCTTTTCAGATTCTTTAAACATAATTCAGAGTAAGATACAGCTCAGATCAGCTTTAAAAGCCTATGGTATAATATTCTTTTGATGTGCATTTAATCAGGCAACACCGTGTGGGTGTGTTAAAAATACTACTTAGGAAATTGCTTCTATTTTTAAAAAACATGTCTGTGCCTCTTTAGCTGATTTGTATAACAGATTCACAGTAATGTTTCTTCAGGAAGTACTTTGATACTAGCAGACCACATGTTGGTTTGACTTGTTTTTATCTTTTTATAGAAGGTTCTTCTATAAGAAAAAGCCAGTAAAAAAAGAAAAAAAGAAAGGAAAAGACTGCAGGCCTCATTTAAGTCTTATGTGCATAGGCTCCCTATTTTAGACTGTTTATGAAAAGCATACAATTATGTCAGAAACCTAATGAATCCATATTATTCAGGGGAATTATTCTTAATATTTAAAACCAGATTTTTGCACTGATTCCTGAGAATTGTTTGTAGCTGATTGAGTAGATTACTGCCTTAAGTTTGACCATCTTTTTAGCTGGTTTGCTTGTAAAAAAAGCCAACATCGCTTTAACTGTAGGAATGAAAATTGGTGTGCACATTCAAGACACAGATCTATGTTTGAAGTGCCTTACTAGTTACCTCCAAGAGATAATAAGAGTTGAAGGGAAAATGTATGGATAAATTATCTGGTACGTATACCATTTCTGCAGAGTTATACTAATGCAACATTAAGCAATGATACTTTACACAATTCTTTTATAACTGCACCTCCATCTTTTTTCAAATGCAAAGGATTAGATCTAGATTAAGTTAGCTGAACTGAAATCATGATTTCTCAATGAGAATATAGTTCAGCTAACTTGGATCCAACCCTATTGACTTCGCTGGGATAAATCTAATCCAAATGCCAGCTTAACAAATTTATCTTTTACTAGTGCAGGAAATTTCTAAGAAAGCCTTTCTGCAACAAAGCTAGTTAAATCATCTGCACATTATTCTGAAAATGCTGCCATCTAGTGGATTCAAATATTCATGGATTTATGCGATATTGAATTATAATATTCTCGCTGTAACACACACACACACACAGAGGTGTACATGCAGCAAAAAAATGTTGATTAAACAGGTACCAGCAAGAAGCCCAACGAACTCAAACAGCATGAGCCCCAATCTAGCATAGAAACATAAGATTATCAGATGTATCTTCTCATACTGAAATACTGAATGCATATATGGGATTTGTTCTCTTTTCCCAAAACAGATTCTCTTTGAAAATAGCATGCCTGATGAGTTAAAACTTCTTAAAATAAATGTGAGAATGTCTTTAAAAGATGTATTGATTTTCTAAAATTAAAAGTATGATCTATTTCAATTGAAACCTACCACCCAATGACACAAGTGGATCTAAGTGTTGAACATGGGATTCTTTTTGAATTCCAAGTTACTGGTAATATATGTGCCCCTGAATCATCATCCAACTGAAATATTCTTGCATTTGTCTATGGGTGGCTATGACATGGCTACAGGATGTATCTAAAACAGGGATGGGGAACCTGTGACTGTCTAGATCAGAGCTTTCCAAACTGTGTGTCACAACATGTTAGTGTGTCAGTTGCAGTGTGTAGATGTGTCATGTGAATGCACTTCCCTGGCTGGAAAGGGGTTAGTTTAACCTCCGGTTTGCTAGTAAAACTGAATTACTGTGTCACGAAATGATGCATGTCCAAAAAGTGTGTCATCAACATGAAAAGTTTGGAAAGCTCTGGAAAGCTCTAGATGTTATTTGACTCCAGCTCCTATCAACCCCAACCAGGATGGCTGATGATCAGGGATGATGGAACTGCAATGCAACAACATCTGCAAAGCCACAGGTCCCCTACTCTTGCCACAAACAATTCAGCCATATGAGGGCACCAATTACATGGTTCTATTCTATGAAACTGGCACCTTGCCAGGAAGGGGCCACTACCTATTGCATGGGAAAGGCACACACAATTAGTCCCAACCATATGCCTAGGTCACTTAGATGTTGTTCCAGTTGTGTGGGAGTCTCCCATGGATACGTAATACCATGAGACTGAATGTTAAAAGGCACTGTTTTCTCACAAGGAAACAAATATTTATCATCTCAATTTTAGAAGACGGGAATTCTGTGCAGTTAAGTATGCTGATGTTGTGCAGAACAGTCTCATTTTCTGTCTCCAAAATTGCTTTTCCACACAACACGAAAGCAAAGCTGGGACATGTAAAAGAACCAGATTTTCCATATTAGTTCACTGTGAGAAAACGAAAAATATCTGTACTTCACTTAATTCTATATTCCCCATTCAACTTACCCAGACAGCATCTCAAATATCAGAATGCCAAGGGCCCACCAATCTACTGCTCTTCCGTGACCTTTACTCTGTATGACTTCTGGGGCAAGATATTCCGGGGTCCCACAGAGCGTCCATGTCCTAAGAAAAAAATAACAAGGAACAGGAAGCTAAAATTACATTTCATATTTGTGATGAATTAAGCTTTCATTGAAACTGGGCTACCCAAGACCTAAAGCTTGTAATCAGAAACAGTTCGGCATGTTTAAAGTTTTAGGAGAATCACAGCCACATTACAATACCATATAAATGGCATAACCTCTTATAAAATTGATGAGGCTCTGAGAACTGTTCTGGTTACTGAATTTATGGTTATTTGTATTTATTGTAATGCTGCTTATATTAGTTTAACATTTTTGTTTATTTGGTTTTTTTAAAGGTTGTAAACCACCTTGGTATTGTTATGGATGAGAATATATAAAAGATAGATAAATGAAGTTAATACTTAGTGAATACAATTAGAATTTCCTCCTAAATGTTTATACTCCACACTGAAAGCAAGTGAGCAGTAACTCTCACAGACTAAGTGGAGCAGAACTCCAATTTATCACCTGAAGCAGGAGGCTTAAGCAAAATGGCCACAAATGCTTGGTCACAGCTCAGGGATAACAGTGTACCCAGAACCAAATGGTACTGATTTTATCCCAGGGATTTTGGCCACCAGACCATTCTGTCCAATCAGATTCCTAACCTGTTGCTGTACTAGTAAGTATTGAATAGGTTAAGCTAGGTATTTTGAACAAAATTTACAAAAAAGAGAGAAGACCTCGACTTAGCACAAGAAGAAAATATATTTATGATAACTATCTTAATCAATGATGTAGCCATATTTGTAACTATCTAGTATGGAATAAGAATGTGTCCCGTTGACAGTGAGTGCATGAATGACAAAATGAGCCTAACTGCACACCTGATGTTATTCTCCACTTCAAAATATACACCAAGATTCTGCAAATCCACTTACAAAGCTGCTTTTTAGGCACACGTGTCTGTTTTAATGAGGGAGAATCTTTTACTGGAATAGAAAAGCCAATCAAACAGATTTTGAAGGCATTTCTCTGCTGGTAGATTCAATTTACATTAGTCCCAGACAAAAGTAATTTACACTGGAGTTGTGCAAACAAGGATAATTTTAATGCTATAGGGGACCAAGGAAAAACCCAAGGAAGCTCAGGGAAACTGTCCTAAGAAATCCTGTGAAATCCTTGAGCTTGTCTGACCAAACTCCAGGAAGCTCCCTGATCTAGGTAACTGACAGATTTTGAAAAGACCATCTATATACTCTATGGTGGGTCTCCTCTTCCTTCTTTATGAGAAAGATAATGATCAAGTCTGCCTTTTTAAGGCACAACATCAACTTCTTTATCAACTTCTGCACATTTGAACTTAACATCACTCTTCAATATGAAGTTCAAAATCAACTTTTGAAAACAGGAAATCATAGCAGCACTAATGCTTGTACACTGGGTAGCATACTTTAATAAGAGCTGCAGGGATGGACAATATGGTGTGTTCTGGATGTTGCTGGGACTCCACATCCCATCAGCCATAGTCAGCATGGACACTGGTCAGGGTTGATGGGAGTTGTAGTCCAACAGCATCTGGAGGGTATTTACATTGGCTACCTATTCTTACTGACACTGTTATAGTAATCTGTCATCTACAAGATCTACTCGACCGATCACAGCTGCCAGTAAATACACTATGCTTATGAAGACTTTTGTCACAATGTAAGTGGACCGTGCGAATTTATACAATGCAAGCTCCTTTTTAAAAGTTTTAGAGATCAAACACATGCTGCATAAAAAACATTCTCCATTGCAAAAAGTAGCCAAGGGCCAATCACTAATCCGTTTAAAATACTTATTTGAAGCTAGAAACAACCCTGGATTTAAAACTCTCTTATATGCTACACAGCAGCTAGGTTAGAGGTCCCAGAGGATAATGCACTCTACCATTCCAAGTTTTCTATAGGAACTTATCCCAGTTTAATATAAGAGTTATAAGCTGTCCCAATGAGCAATCACACTTAATATTTCTGAGTGTACCAAACCAAAGACCAAATATACCCAATCTCTTTTTTTGAGGCAATAATTCTGCAATTCATGCAGGATGCTTTACCAAAAGTTTTCAAGCCTACTTCTAAGATTGCATTTACTTACTTCAACAATTTATATATTGCTTACTACTGCAGTTTCTAAGCTGTGTACCAAGAAGTTATAAAAGAAATGCAAAAGATTAAAAATGAGTTAAAATTAACCATAATCCAGGAAAGTTTACTTAAAATGCTTCCTGAAATTTTTTTTAAATGTCTGTACTTAGGCTATATTTATTTACAAACAATCATGTTTTAGTTATTCCAGCAACTGGCTAGTAACATGTTTCCAATAAAATAAGGATATTGCAAAAACAAAAACAAAAAATGATTTAAATCAAGTACAGTATTTAGATGAGAATTTTTTGCTTGGCAATTTAAATCTGGATATAAACCACGCTTCACTTAAAATCCATCCATCCTGGAAAACTGTATATTCAAATTAGAAGGAATGAAGTGTTCTGAATTTATGATACATTGTTTCCTCATGTTATTCCCTTTGAAAAAAATGAAAAATCCCTCTTATTGGATTTTTTTTTACCTCCTTCCTAAGAACTTCAGCCCAATAGCAACACTAAATTCAAAACTCAATAGATCAATAAAATATTAAACATCAGAATAGATTATCAGGATTAAAATTGCCCTATCGCTGCTTAACACCCCCCTCCCCAAAAAAGCATGCCAAATAAAACAAAGCAGTCTTGCAGCACTTAAATATAGCTTCAAAGCCTGAATTTAGCAAGTCTCTAGGATATATATTTTTTTAATCCAAGGCAGTCATTAAGCACATCCATCTTCAAGGGTCCACAGGTTTTGACTACAAGTCTATTCAAACATTACTCCCATGGTGTCCAGTGGGGCGTTCTCCCAAGTTAATGTACAGAGCATTGCTTCCTTAGTCTGTAGCCTTGTGCTGGACCTCCACTGGAAGAAGGGGCTATGCCTTGCTCTCCTCTTCAGCCCAATCTTTTGGAGCTGCAGGAGGGGAACAGAGTTGTTTCTGTGCTGTCCCATTAAGATGTTCTGCACCCTCTGTTACTAAAACTTCCAGCCGCATCCTTCCTCTGTAGCTTGCAGCTGGAAAGGGGAGAGGAGTCCTTTTCATATTTGCACTGAGCCCTCTGAAGCCCCATGCAACTATAGGCACAATCCCCAACCCACTATCTTCCTCTGCAGGGGATGAGCTGGAGCTCCCTCTCATCCTTTTTGCCCAAGGATGCTAAAACACTTGCCATGTCAAGGAGGGGAAACGGAAATGTGAACCCCCACATATCTTCATCTACAGTCAAGAATCAGCTAGCTTTTAAATCCTGCAATGTAAAATCAGAGAGGTGATAGTATCTGCAGCATTTAGTACACAAGCAGTTCATAGGCAGGCATGTGTGTGCATGTACGGGGAGCCAATTAACAGGTGCAATGTGCTCTCTGTAATCCAACCCCATGAGGATACTATGCTCTGCATCAGCTGAAGCCACTATTGCAAGTCACAAAACCTGCTAGCTAGCCTTTTCTGAGCCTTATATGGATTAAATGAACTGTCCCATATCCAGTCCATTCTCACGGCCAGATGCTGGGTAGTCAGCACTGCAAGACTTGGATCACAGGGAAATAATACCTTGTGAACTTTTCCCATGTGTAGAAGTGGCAGCAGTGAGCAAGACTTGGTCACATCTGTTGCCAAGGTGGGCTTACAGTGTTGTGAATGTGTCACAGGCCCTTTCTGTGTTCTATCAATCTTCAGCCAGTGTCTCAACCATCAATGATTAATAGAGCAATCATTGGCTTGTTCACCTAATAACCCTGTCTCTCTGTGTTTAGTGGGTTTACTTTCATGAAAATATATGGAAGACTGCAACTGTGTTCTGCACAGCAACAGGCAACTATCACAGTGAGAAGGGGATGGTTTCAGCCTCCAGGTAGAGAGGCAGCTTAGCTTTTGACAGGCCATTCATAACCTAGGGCCTATCTGCTGGATGGCATTTCACCCAGAGAGTAAAGTCGCCTTTGCTTCTGTAAACACTGTGGCACTCATAACCTTAAAAACACACACACACCGCAATCTGTTATCAGCATGAATCAAGCACCAACTGCTCTGTAGTCATCTGCCCTCCTACTTAATCCCCCTCAGTTCCCCAGTAAATCACACTAAGCATAAAGACGAAAGATGCCCAAGAGACACTGAGTCATGACTGTTGCACAAAGGATAACACAACAAGGCAGATTATCCAAGAGCTTGACCTTGTAATAATGAGCAATGGTTTTACTTAACACACACACAGCCTAATAGTTGGTGGCTCTTTCTCACATAGGACTAAAATAGATTTATTTCTATTTTCAGTTGTATTACAGCAAGCCTTCCATTTAGCTCCACTGCCTGACTTTGTGCTTCCACAGGAGGTTCCCTTTCCCAGCACCAAGCTACAGAAGAAAGCTAGGGGTCCTCTCCTTGCTCTCACCAGAGGGCTATGAAAACACTCAGCTCTGGTGAGGGGGTGGGCAAGAATGTGGACCACAGGTGTAGAACTTTCACATTGTACCTTCAGTTTAATATAGTCTCCAATCAAGATTGTATTAACATTCAAACTAAAAGCTACAGAAGTCATTTTCAAACTTTCTGCTTTCAAGTAGCAGTTTCCATAACATTTTGGGCTGCTGAAGAATCCTTGCACATAGAGCATAGGCACTATATCCCAGCTGAATCAATGAGATCATTTGTAGGAGCTTTACTTGAATTGGTGAGGCTCATTTGACCTGAACGCAAAATCCAGCTTTCAATGCTAGTGGTCCACTTTCATGGAATGCTCTTCCAATACAGATTCAGCAGCAACTTTCCATATTAACCTTCAGACTTCTGCTGAAAACTTTTCTCTACTGCCAGGCTGATGCAGAAAATTGAGATAAACGTTTCCCATAATAGTAAGCTGATGATCTTTTTTTGTGTGGTTTTTTAATTGCATAACCGTTGTTATAAACTGTTTTGATTTTTTTCAGAAAATGAAATTTCAGCATGCAAGTATTTTTAAATATATAAACAAGGTTTTCAAAAGCTACTAGCCATGGCGGCTATGTTCCACCTCCACTGTTGGATGAAGGATGCCTTTGAATACCAGTTTCTGGGAATCAAAAGTACTACTGAACTCTGGTTCTCCTATTGTGCTTTCCATAAGCATGTGGCTGGCCACTGTGAGGACAGGGTAGTCTTATAAGAGTTCTCTCCAGCAGCCTCATGAAGCTGAAGAGGACCAGTAATGGTGGGCAGTCTGCCTTTTAGGTAAGTATGCCTGTAATGCTCACCTTCTCCTGGGAGAACTGAAGGTAAACTTGCAAGTAAACTTAAACACCCAGTATCTTACTTCAGATCTTCCCTTGTCAGATGGTATACTTCTAAGCTCACTGATGATACATGGGAGACAAAACACCTTATAGAGTATGGGATGGGGAGTTATGGACTACAGTGGTACCTCGGTTTAAGAAGAGTCCGGTTTAAGACTGAATTGGTTTACAAACTCAGAAATAGTGTCCTAGTTTGAGAACTTTTCCTCGGTCCAAGAGCGGAATCCAAATGGTGGAAGGCCACCGGGGGCAGGAGGCCTCATATGAGAAAGCACACCTTGGTTTAAGAACTGTTTCGGTTTAGGAATGGACTCCTACAATGGATTAAGTTTGTAAACCGAGGTACTGCTGTATTTACATTTTGAATGTGGTTAATACTGAGGAGCATACATGCATTGTCAACATCCCACAAATGCTGTGATCCAGCCAAACATTAAGCCCTTGTAAATCCCATTGATTAAAGAATGCACTTAACTCTTACGGGGGGGGGGGGAGGGTTATAAATGCTCGACTCTGGGTGGATCACAGCCAACAGCTTCATATCCTCTATCTCTAACCAGACCTTTTGTAAGCAATGCTTGTCCTCAAATGTAACTGGGTATACCTGTATAGTATTTTACTTTAAAAAATATCTATCTAACGAAGGCTTGTTGCCTCCTCATTAGGATACAGAGGCAATCTTCATTTATTTCTGGAGTACAAGTTGACTCACAATCTGGCTACCTGCAACCTGATGATATTTTACAAGCCTTGTTCGGTATGCATTGGATTCAACAGTAAAACTGACTTCCTAATGAAGGCATAATCTGCTCATCACTACTAAAAGTAATATTGTAACCAGCACCAACACAACTTTCTATGGAAGACAGAGCAATTTTTTCCCATGCTTATACAAAATACTTTGAAAATCCGAATGCAAACATTCCAGGAAGCTGACGACAAGTTGTGACTTCTGCACAACAGTTAAAAACAAACATTAAAATTCTCTGCAGTTGCAAGGCCAACTTCAGAGATGCAAACAAACAAGAGAACACAGATCAAACCACTCTGTTGCAACATATATTTTCCAAATAACTCCAAAAGATTGTCAGTAATTTGCAGTATGTAAACCTTTTTCTTTCTCATTCCATCTAGCTTAGCATTGCAATACCAATCATTTCTCCATAAAAAAGAATGCTAGTTAAAAATTTAAAGAGCTAGATATCATTTTTTTGCCTAACGAATCGGACTGAAAAACATCTAGATTTTGAACATCTAGATTTCATGTCATGTTTTTAGGACAAGCTACTGCCAAATATAAGCACCGTACTGTCTGGATAGGAGATAACCTGGAATCATATGCACACCGCCTTATCCAGAATACGAATAAGAAAAAGCACTTTACACTGACTGATTTCAGTAGCAGGGAAAGAAGCAAGGCTGAAAAATGTGTAGCTTTGGTAGGATTGCATATTTAAGGTATTAAATTAAGTGAGCCAATTTCACTAAGCTTTAGCAATAATTGTTGATCAATATTTTTAACCTGCATCCATAGAAGTTAATGGATTGGCCTGGAGAGCAAAGTTGTATTTTTCTCACCAAGGAAGGGCAGAAAGGTGGTCTTCTGCAATGTTTCTCTAAGCATCTGAGACATTTGTGACCCAACATGATTGTGAGGGCAAGCTCATCACCCCTTCCCTCAACCTTGACCTGGAGAGGAAGGCTTAGAGGGGTTTAGGAGACAGCAACTCATTTTGCTATTTTCCCAAGCCTCTCATACTAATTTTGGAGATCAGGGAGAGCTTCTGCTCTTCTACAGATTTTTAGGGTGAAGGGAAAGTATACATTAAAGCACATCTGCTCACAAGAGGTGAGCTGGACAGTGCGGAGATTACACACACACACACACGAGTCTCAGGATAACCTTCACAAGAGGGGTATTTATACTGACTGGATCTTTACAGAAGGCAGTACAGATATTCAGATTTTTCCCTGTTACATAAAACAGTGGTGGGGGTGGGTGAGTTGTAAGCACAAAATGAAACAGCTACCTATCTTGTGTATACTTACATTGTTTTTGAACTGCAGTCTCTTTTGTCTCCCTTTCATATTCCCTCATCATTTGTTCAAAACTACTACTTATTCACCCACAAATTACAATAATTGCTGTTTTCACATACATACAAATATATTTGGCTTGTGCATTAGAAGTTTTTAGATGGGGATAGAAGTATTTTTGGTTTTCAGGAATAATAATAGGAATAGTAATAATAAATAATAACAAGAACCAAGGCATGATTTCCACAACATGAGAAGGTACCAGTTTATATCAACATCTTAAATCTAACCAGTGCTCTATTTAACATAGTAATATGTACCCTGAGTGCCAACAGTTCTTTAACATTGCAGGGAAAGTTCCTATTGCCAGGTAAGATATGTGAACTTGAGGGCAAGCCTAGAAATCTTTAAATGTGATTAATAATAATACCTCATTCATCTAATGATTTACTGTGCTTATTACTTTTAGATGTTTATGTTTTTAAATACATCTTAATTTTAATTGTTGTATCACAGATGTGCTTACTAACCTCAGCTCCTTTGGCAGAAAGTGTAGTATATAATTAATTTATTTTTTTAAAAAATAAAGTTAAGAAAATCTCTCTGAGAATTTGTAAGACATGTTAATCTAGTGATACCCTGATTATTGAATGCTCTGCTGCAGAAGGTCTGTTGGACTTTGTTATCTTTCTCATGCTATGTGAAACCTTCTTAATAAATAAATATACATACATACATTTTAATCCATGTTGCATGTATGTATAGCAGTTAACCAAACAGACTAAAAACTGAAAATGTTAATCATGGTTGGTACCACTAGTCATGTTCAAAATTTCATTCTCTGCCCTCTTCCCATCATACTTGCATACCCCCCAAAATAATAAAGTAAAATAAAATATCAGTTTTTAAAAAAAGAGCTTACCTATCAACCAGCTTTTTAGCAAATCCAAAATCGGTGAGTTTTATATGCCCCTCTTTGTCTAATAAAATATTTTCAGGCTTTAAGTCTCTGTAAACAATTTCTTTTGAGTGAAGATATTCTATTGCACAAATAATCTCTGCAGAGTAAAACAGTCCAGTGCTGTTATTAAAGCGTCCCATGTTGCGCAGATAACTAAAAAGTTCACCCCCAGGTACATATTCCATCAGCATATATAGAAAGCGTTCATCATGGTAAGTCCAAAATCTGCAATGAAAGAGATACATGTTTTAAAAAATACTAAGAGAACAACTTGTCAGACAAGCATAAAATGATTTTTTTTTTTTAAGGGTTCGAAATATGAATGAAAAGCTTCCAATATTCAAAACAGAAGATGTAGTGAAGCACAAGCTCAGCAGTGTGGTCATGAGAAACTGTTCTGCCACCCAAGGCCTGAAACCCCTCAAGATATTTCCGGCATTTGTGGAGGTCCCGACACTAAACCTCAATTGACTCATGGAGCTCCTGTGGGTTGATAGATACATCACAGCTCAAAATGGAAGAGAAGCCACAGCAAAAAGCAGCTGGGGGATTTTGGGGAAAACGTCACACATGGCAGCTCTGTGAATTCTCAATTGGTTTAGAAAGGGTTGAATTACAGCTATGGGTTAATCGCCTATGCATTTTGGCATCACAAATGAAGTGCCACCACCAGTATAAACAGGGGAAAGACCTAAAAGAAACAGACTGCTAAGGAATTTTGAGGCCATTCTTCAGGTGTCATTGCCAAGGAATTGATCATGTAGTTGTATACTGCTTTTAAGCCATTTTGGCAAATAAATGGCATATAAAAGTAAAGTAAAAGTAAAAGTAAAAACAAAACAAAACAGTAACAGCAGCAGCAGCAAAAGCAGCAGCTACAGAAGAAGGGGCATTTCAGTCACAACACCCAGACAATGCACATTTCTTTCCTCTAACATTTCATTATAATCTGCTCTAGATCTAAATTGTATTTTTTTTATTTGTGACTTGTTTTTATGTTGCTTATATACATTAGTCTATCAATCTGTTTTACTGTATCTGTTTTTAGGTTTGCTTTTATTCTTCTTGTGTGAGCCATCCCGAAATTTGTTTTGTAAGGCTTTATGCAAACACTTGGAAATGGATTATTATTAGTAGTAGATTGCATTGAGAAAAGATCATTTATTTTTATTTTTCTGGCCTGAGGAATTTCTATACTTTGTTAATTAAGGAGTAATTTTCATCCTTGCTGCTGTTTAACCTGGGAAACTTATTGACATGTAAATAAAAAGCTATATACTGGGAGGGGAGAGAAAGCAAGCAGATACAGGTTCAATGCACCCGATACAGGTTATATCCGCTTTTGGCTAGCATAAAGCGCAAGGTAGGACACACCTTTTTTTGCTGGTCCTACCTACCTATGGTAGCGCTTTGTGCTCTACCCTAGTCTGTTGTTTGAGGGTCTCCCAATCTTCAGGAACAGTTTTTCAGGGGTGCAGCAGCTATAATGGGTAAAGGGAATGAGTAAAAACAGGATGCATCATCTGGTATGAGTTCTGTTTGCTTGAGGTTCCTAGTGGATGTGCTTTCTGCTGGCACAAAGCTGTCCACTAGAAACAATCCCATAACTCTTCAGTCATCAGGTGCTTCTCTGCTTTATGTTTTCTCTCATGGACTGTAAATATTAATATGGTTGTGAGGAAGGTGCAGGGGAGGTTGTATTTCCTGAGAATGCTCAGGGGACTGAATCTATCTCAGCACCTACTTCTGTCCTATTATCACAGTACCATCGAGAGTGTCTTAACATATAGTATATTATCGTGGTATGGGAGCAGCTCTGAAACGGATAAAAAGCTTTACAGAGAATAATTAAAATTGCCCAGAATGTTATTGGGCTCCAACTACCAACCCTGGATGAGATCTTCACGTCTCGCACTTTGAAGAAGTCACACAATATCCTGAGAGATCCCACCCATCCTGCTCACAACTTCTTTGAACTGTTGCCTTCGGGCAGAAGATATAGGACAATGAAAACACGAACCACACGCCTTCTGAATAGTTTCTATCCAAGAGCTCTGATTGTACTAAATAATGATCTCAGGGCCAGTTGCAAGGAATAGCAAGCAGGGAGTAGGAAGGAATGAGACAGGTTTTTAGGTTATGTTATGCTTTTAATAGGTTATGTTACATTCTGGAGTATGATATGTTTTTATAGATTATGTCTGAATAGGATGAGAGTGTTGGAGATACGTGCAAATGTGTATGTGAACCCGGTCTTCGAGTGGGTGTTTGATTTTCGTTGTTGTGTATACTGTGTATATACGGACAATGACAATAAATTTATCTATCTATCTCTTGCCACTCTACCTCTTTCAAAACTCTTTCACCCATAATTGCTTAACAGGTTGTCATGAAAAACTAGTTGTGGTGAGCTCAGAATTAATGCGTTCATTTCCCCCTGGTTTAATTGACTTGGGAGTCTTTACTTGAACACTGGACAGGACTTTTCATTTTAACTGGGTTTGCTTTGTATTCTCTTCCTCCCCTTTGCCTTATCAGGAAGCAATCTTGCTATGTCGAAATTACTTTTGCAATACGTACCCACACCCCTTCTGTTCCTATCAGTTTTCAGTGAAATGCTGACATTTCCGGTGGCATGCATTACTCCACCCTTTACCACAAGATATTCAAAACAAGCAATGAAGCATATGCACAGGGATCAGATTTCATGCAGTTTTCAAATGCAGGGAAACAGAGTGGCATGTTAAATCCACTGTACCACCAGCAAGTGCAATGGTCAATATTAAAGTCCTCCATGGACTGCTGCCACATTTCCTCTGGGGTCAGGGTAGAACCAAAGTCCTTTCTTTGCCAATGAAGGCTATCAACAACTCTTAGGTTGCTCTATTAAACACATGAAAGAACATAGGGATGCATGACCAAAAATGAGCTTATGATTTGTCAGAGATGCATCAAAGACTGTGAGAGATGAATAAAATTCTGCCTAGAATGCACTGATTCCCCCTTCTTTCTGCAGCACTCTGTTCACCCCCCCCCACCCCAAAATATGTTCAAGAAGGTTGAGGGATCTCTGGAACACTGTAGTAGTAGATGTATTTGAATAATTAGCATACAAGACCACATCGTTAATAGCTATAGGAATCATCCTAATTTGAAGGGTGGCAGCTTCCATTAATACGTCACCAGCTATGGCATATTTTCCCCCTACTATAGTTTTTGTTTGCTTGCTTGCTTAACCTCGACAGCTGTTGGTGCAGTTTGTGAACACTTGCGCCTTAGTAAAAAGGCAATGGAACATTCTGAAGTGGAATCAAGCACACAACAGGCAGGCACAACTACTACATCATGTTGTGCATGCTCCAAGGAGCAGTTCTCCATCAAATACATTTTCTGTAACACATTTTGTTTCCTAGCTTTTCTAGATTATCTCCCCCCTTTAAAAAATATGAACACAATATTGTTTAAGTATTTCTTCAAAAGGAGGATAAAACAAGTGTAGCATTTGCCACCCAAAAGACTTTGAATTAATCCAAACTGATGAGAGATCGAATGCTAGAATTGAACATTATGCCACAAAAGCTATAAAACGGGGGGAGGGGGGGAATTGGGAGAGAAGAGAGCTTACAATCTGATCAGAAATGGATGATTCACTTCTTTCAAGACCGCTTTTTCATTGTGCACATGCTGTTCTTGTTTTAGTCGAATGACATCTGGAATGCTCATTACTTTCAATGCAAAGTAGCATTTGGCTGATTTCTCTTTCACCAGATGAACCCGCCCAAAAGTACCTGTCCCTGAAAATTAAAGAGCAAAATGTGTCAGTTGCAAAGAACATTATCTTGCAGTTAAGATGTATAAGGAATGTACAAATGCAAGAAATCAATATAAAAGCAAGTGGTAGGCATTATATATTCCTTCATAGCTTTGGCCCTTCTAATCCTAAATACTTCATGACAATTTTAACAGGGAACAGGCTAAACAGTCAGCTCCACCTACTCCCTCACATCTACAGAAATCAAGGCAAAGAACTCTTTACCCCCCTCCTCCATCAACAGTGGCTACAGCCCTTCCTTCAGATACCTCTACTGCCCACTGCCCTTCCCTAGACTTTGGGTTTGTGAATGGATGTGAGCATATCAGATACCTAAGAAGCTACCGTATACCAAGTTGGACCACTGGTGCATCCACATCAGGAGTAGACAAGTAGACCATCAGATGTTGTGGACTATAACTCCCATCACCCATGTTATTGGCTGTACTGACTGGGGCCGATATAGTCCAAAACATCTGGAAGGGATTAAGTTGGCTATACCCCCAATTTACACTTATTGGTAGCAGCTCTCCAGGGTTTTTGACAGGACTCATTCCTAGTCCTCCTTGGAGATGTTGGGGCATTTTAAATGCTGGGTTTGTGAGCAATAGACCTCTATAACAGCTAGAATGTATATAACCATATTTCTCTTGCTTGCTGTTCATACTAAGAAGAGGTACCTGAAGTGCTTTTTAACTTTCTCTCTGGTCAGGCTAGTTATCAGCATGCTGACAAGCACACAGGGTGGCTTTGTCTGCACAAAAATCTGTGTTCCTCTTTCTGTACGGGAAGGAGTGTTGTAGCAGCAGGGAGGGATCGGAAATGAGAAGAGCTAAATGCAACCATTTATGTTTTCTCCCTCACTCTAGAAATTGCTGCTCAGAGTAAAGTTGCACATTGCATATATTTTGTATTATCTATCTGGAATTAAGCATTTTGTGGAGTCGGATGAAAATGAAAAAAAGCATTGCAAGACATTGTGCATTTAAATATTTATACCCTGCTTGTTAACTGAGGTCCTTGCAGCAGCTTACAAAATATCTAAAACACAATGAAACAGCTAGTAGCACAACTGTTAGTAATGCTGGGCAAATGCATGTAAAAGCTTTCCTCCCAGTCCAACTGCCACTCAGCACCCTGGAAATACCTCCACTGTTGGAGGCAGCATGTCTCTGAATATGAGCTGCTGGGAACCACCAGTGGAAAGTATGCTGCTGAGCTCAGGTGCTGCTTGTGAGCTTCACACAGGAATCTGGTTGGCTGTTGCGAGGAAAGCATGCTGGACTAGATGGACCACTGGCTAATCCAGCAGGCTTTTCCTATGCTCTTATTGCTGCAAGATGGGCCAACAGCCAGATGTTAATTTCTCACTGAGCTGCT